TATATATATAAATTGTATGTATATTTACTAAATAAAGAACAAAAAATTTTATAGAAAATAAAAGGAATAATAAACATTATTACGATTGCTACTATTATTTATAACTTATACAAAGAAAAGTGTTAAAATTGGGGAATAAAAGGTACACGCTCTATATGGAAGCACGATGTACACAGTAACTTTTTCAGCTTTAGGAAACAAATTGTTTTAGATACGCTCAAGAAGTAATAATTGCCTTTCGTTCAGTGATATTATCAATAATAATCATTTGTACGTGGGCGATTGTAGCTAGCGGTCTAACAATTGTAAGCGTAAGTATAATTTATTTTATATCTTTTACTATAATATTATCTCACGATAAGATGAATTCTACAGGAGAAAAAGATTACATGCATATATATAAATGTGTTTACATTTAATTTATCTTATTATTGTAAACCTAGCGAAGTACGTTAACAGAGAAAATACAGTTTATGGCTCTATGTACATCAGGACTTATGGAAGTTTATGCATGTGCTTGGCCAGCCGATTATTTAAAAGATACGGTAAGTTGGATTCATTAGAGTTTACATTTAAATAATTCGGTATAATTCGAGAGAGATAACTATAACTTGTGTAACTGTGTATTACACCATCAAGTTCTGGATCATCATCATGGAAAATATATTGATAATCTATTATCAATATATTGATTATGCTTTTTATTTTCAATTACATTTGAGACTTTTACGGGTATTTTCTTCAATTATACTAGAAGGTTTGCGGGTTGTCGTCGTGTCTCAATTATGCTAGAAGCAAATCTTCTAGCATAATTTTTAATATATTATTTTAAATGTAAAATTATTTTTTTTGTATTTATTTTGGCTCTATTCAGTAAAATAAACTCTTTATTTCATTTTTAAATATAAAAAATTTTTATTTTTTATAAGTAAGTATAGTTAATTATAATAAATATGCACATAAAGTTAAATTTAAAAAAGTTATTAAATTAAAATATAACAGAAGAGTTTATATCGCCGTGTCGTAATCCATTGCTAATGCCAACATTTCATGAACCTTGCCGTTCACCGATACGAATCTGTGCGCTCCTCACTCCAATGAAATGAACGGCGAACCCGCAAACCTTCTGGTATAATTGAAGAAAATACCCGTGAAAGCCTCAAATGTAATTAAAAATAAAAAGCGTAATCAATATATTGAACCTTCTAGTATATTTGAAGATAATATTCGTGAGAGCCTTAAAAGCAGTTAGCATATTAAATTGTTTAAATTAAATTTTTATTTTTTTAGAATAAAAAATTACAATTTCCATCACATATTTATTTACAATATTTTCGTTTTATGTATTTTGACTATATTGTTTCAACTATATTATTATATTAAAGTATGCATATTATTTATTAGAGTACTAGTGTCGCACAAGCAATTTACGAATCGTTGTGGTACAATCAAGACAAGATTTTTCAAAAAAATTTAAATTTTATCTTGTTGAGGAGTCAAACACCAACAACCGTCTCTGTTTCTATCCTTCCAGCTTTATCATTACAATTTTATGCATCGGTAAGGTTTTAGAAATTAAAAGAATTTTTTATACAAATTAATATTTTATCTTACAATGAGAGGCTATGCTCTGCTGTTCACCGATTTCGATCAAACTTACAGCGATGTTAGACGAAACTACCAAGTGAACATATGTAAAGCCGTTCTTGCTAATGAGCCTTAGAAGCTGAGTAGTAGGCATAAAAATGTTCTAAAAATCTAGAAACAGTCTAATTCTAAAATATAGTATGCATTTTTGAGAAAATCTTATTGTTAAACAAAAGTGATGGGGTTTAATAGAGAGATATTAAAACTTTGACTTAACTTTGACAATACCACCCAAGGTTAAACTAATAAAAACCAATAAATATACATCTTATCAAATCCTATTACTTTCGTCTAAGACAAAATAGGGTTTAATAAGATGTATTTATTGGTTTTTATTAGTTGAATGAACAGCGTTTCATTCTTTAGCTTAAACAAATTAAATAAATTAACAAGAATAAGGAAACCGCAATAACTAACGGTCTACTAAGCCATCTACGGTCAAAGCTAGATCACTATGCTTATTATAATGTGTGAATTTTATATACCGCGTATGTAGTTCCCAATCACGTGCCGAAAATTTTTTCGGACTTACAACGCAACACTAAACAACTACCGCAGTAATTAAATAAATATATTAGAGTACATAAAGATCCTTTAATAATCAAAAAAGAAATGTTGTATATCAAATTAATTTAGTAAAGATTGTGACGCTTCATATATCGGTCAGACGGGAAGAAAATTAAAAACAAGATTAAAAGAATACCAAAAGAATATATGTAGACCCTCGTCTTCCATTTTTACTATAACAGAACATAAAATGCATCACAATCATGAGTTTGATCAGGACAATGTGAATATTCTGGATGTGGAGAGCTATACGATTTTATTACTAGTGTTCAACTAGTGCTGCAAGTTTGATCAAAATCGATAAAGAACAGAATCACGGAGTATTAAGGAGTAAAATCTCCGCTTCTAAAAGTGTCCCCGTTTCGATTGTATTCAATATGGAGTTCTGACGGACCCCACTTTCCGGTTTGTGACGTCAGCGTCTGCGCATTACTCGCCTTGCAGCAAACGACAATTTTTGTTATTCCTTCTATATTTATATCATCACAATCGTCACCGGTCAAATTTGCCGTATCAGCTGCAAAAGATTCATGTTCAGCATTGGACTTCCTTTCTGAATAATTCTCGGCAACTATCGGAATAGCATTTGGTCTCAATTTCGGTACTATTCTTTCAGTACGATGTACTGTACCATATCATTCAGTAAAATATCGTTTGAATAAAAAACATCTTCGATGCTGAAATGTTCCTCACAAACGAAACAATATTCACTAAGTGGCCTTTTCAACTGACTTAAATTTGCAGTCCAACAATCCAACAAATTTTTGTCCTAATAATAAAAAAGAATAACCATAAATGTTGCACATAATCTTACAAAATGTAATCAGTATTTTCTTACGTACTTTAGGTGCTTTAAAAAGACTTATTCTTAGTTCCCAAATCTTTGTTTCGTTTTTTGGTGCATTTCAGCCAATTTCGGCAATTAAGAACTATACAAACACGTTTTCCCATTTTCTACAACTTAATTGATGCAAGGCGAGTAATACGCAGGCGCTGACGTCACAAACCGGAAAGTGGGGTCCGTTAGAACGCCATATTGACAATCGAAACGGGGACACTTTTCAGGTGATCAGGCTATGGAGATTTTACTCCTACTTAATACTCCGTGAACAGAACATAGCTGCTATATTTATCAATATAACTTTTTACACTACAGATAATTAAAATTTTGGAAATATTTCATGTAGAATCTGTATAAAAATAAATTCTAATAAATTATGTATATAAAAAAATGTAATTAAAATTTTTAATAAAAAATATTTTTTAATTTTTATTAAAATTCTTATTATAATAAAAAAATTTTATAAATTTATTATATATTAAAATTTTTTATTTTTTCTTTCTTATGATAAAGTAGTTATATTATTATACGCACGCAAAAACGTATACACATTTCACGTTTTATATGTGTCGTAAGAAATTTAATCATTAAACATAAACGTATCGACGTTAATGCTTCTGATCGTACAAAAATTTTTTATAAAACTTTGTCACTATGTACATATTTTTCACTCTGAAGCCAGAGAAAGTATTAAACTAAATATATTATTTTATATATTTTAGTACGTATCAACAGCTTTTTCTTATTTAATGACATTACGAATGGTATTTGTGGAAGACAATGGAGTAAATTTTAAAGCTTCGTAAATTCTTCTAATTTTTTTCAATAGTATTATATTTGCATAATAGAACATCTTGTAATACTGTTAGCACCAAAAAATTCTGATATACTTATAACTTTTTCCACATTAATAAATATTAATTAACATAAATCTTTAGTAAATATTAATTAACGTAAAAATAAAAAAATTTCTTAAAATAATTGCATTGATTGTCTTTTTCATCTTTCCAAATCGACTTTTTTATAAAAATTACATATACGTATAATGTATATTGTATATGTATATACATATATATATATGATTTAGGGTAATACTTATTTATTGTGAGATTTTATTTGATACTTATTTACTCATACTAAAAATTTTTCCGCGGCAATCTCTGCATGGTACACCTAGGATAATGCTAATATACCAGCAGTATTATAACATTTAAGCCTTATAACTCGGAAACTATTTAATGAGAAAATATTTTATTTTGAGATACTCTCAAGATGAGCTACAAGAACATGCAACAATAAAAAATAGGGATTTCGCCTTAAAATATTGTTCTTTAAAAAGGTCTTCATATGATCTTCAAACGACTATCCAAGGTTAAACTAATGCATCCTCTTATACTTTCCTCAAAATTTTGTTTAAAACATTTTTCTCTAAAATGTACTGCTCAAGAGATATTTAATGTTGTCATTTAAAACAGAACATTACGTATGTCGTAACTATAAAGATTTAATTTAAATTATATAAATTAACTTCTATTAAAAACTTCTAATGTATAAAGTCCTAATGTGTGTTTATAATATTAAGGTTATTATATTCATTTTAAATTCAAATATTACAGATAATATATATTATATTATATATGTATAGAGTATCTAATTAACTATCAAATTTTCATAAACAGGATATTAAACTGAAGCGAATATTAAATTGAATAGAAAAGTTCTCAATCATTTTGAGATTTTCTCAATAATTTTAAAAAAATTAATTAGTAAAGATCTGTGCAAATGAACATACGTTTGCGCTTTTTTAGTAAAACACAACCCAACGTTATGCATCATTAGTGGTTATTAAACATGCGCTCCTCCTAATACTGCGCCGTACACATAGCAACCGCAATCAGCATGCAGTGACTCTGGGCTATCTCTCCTTCGCTGATTCGCCGCAGAACTTTACTAATTAATTTCTCGTTAATTATTAAGAAACTCGCAAAACGATATGAAGTACTTTACTATTCAGTTTTATTCATTCCACCCGTCCACGAAAAATATCATGTCAAACATGCTGTGTAATGATCTTTATATATAATTCCTACTTAAAAAATAAATAAATATTATATTAAAACAAACTGTCTCTAAGTTATCTAAATTTTCAGTGTTTAAAAATAACTTCTTAAATTAAAAATTAGAATTATACATATTTAAAGAATAAATTATACATATTTAGAAAATAAAACGTTTTTATAATTTAAATATTTTTTAAATAACAATTTCTGTCGTATGTAAAAATTCAGTATATAATGGAATCGTGTTATCCGCATCACTAATAAAAATACTTCTCTACGCTTGGTCGGCTGATCTAATGAGAACAGTAATATAAAATTTATCAGTTATTAAAATTTGGAATATAGCCGCTCTTCCAAATGTTCTCAACTTTTCAAGATGAAGGAGAAGAACTTCCCATGTTTCAGTTAAAACTTTTTAATCACTAAAACTTCTCAATCGAAATGCAAAGGACCTCCATTTCCCTTAATTCAGGTAGATTTTACCGTATTTGGATACATATTTTCTTTCTCAACGTTCCACTCGCAGTTTCAAATATATCGAAGAGGTACGTAAAAGTATCACACCCATCGAAATCTACAATGATTTTCTCATGATGAACATTCTCCTAATAAATAATTTAGATTCCATTATTTAAAAAGATATTAACTTTAATGCACCACAATAATTATTCGAGAGACTACAATTTGTAGAGTTAACCGCCAAACATGCACATCAAACGATGATTTATATACATTTTACATTCTAGCGGTTCACACTGCCCAATCTTTCGTTATTTCGATACTGACTACCTCGAATATTTTTTCGAATGATAAACATAACTTAGTCTCAGAACTTCAACGCGAAAAAAGAAACGCAACATTATCTCCAAAATAGATTTGCTATACCTATAACATATTGCACTGTTCTACCTATTTCCTCTTCATGTGAAACATCAAATCTTCCCCCTTTTCAAAATTACATATACAGATTGCGTGAGCGTGAAAACCATATATCTAACACCGTTGTGTAGCATTTCAGTGAAACATATGTTACTTCCTGTACACTTATTTCCTATCGTAGACAGGATATACATCAATAAAATTATTAGGTAGCGCACAGTAAAGAATATGCTACGTGTTGGAACTCTATAAGTTAAAACTGCCTTACTGTAGGTAGTTCGTACAGAAATACGAAAGTATGTTATATGTAATAGAATAATAAGGAAATTATAAAATAATGTGTATGTTTCTTTCCAATATTTACGAGGAAAATAGATAGTATACATAGTTTATTTAGAATATCATAGAGAGAAATCTTTTTTAAATTTATTTCTTACTTTTTTATATCTAAGATATACATGAATATCTTAGATGCGTAATATTCTCGGGAAATTATAAAGAATCTTACTATGCATATATTTTTACATTTTCGCAAACAGTGAATATGCATTATAGCTTATTAAATTTATATACGCAAAGCTATTCGTTTCTCACATACACCGTATGCATCATAATAATTTTATTTGTGTATATTCCATGCAAAATGGAAAAACACAAGAATACATGTTCTCGTACAATAACTTCCCTTTGCACTACACGTACCCTTTCATTACAATAAATACTTGCAAATGCGTGGAGCGTATTCATTACATAACGGCCCGCGGAAGAAGTTTTATTTCTCGTAATATCAATTTGTAACACAACATACACTGTAAAAAATAAAATGTTAATTTTAACTCATTGAGTGGATTTTCTGAGACATGCAAAAATGTTAAAATTAACATTTTTATGTTACTATCTCAGAAACTTCACTCAATGTTTTTGAGTTAAAATTAGCATTTTATTTTTTACAATGTAGGTAGCATACATCAGTCATGCGAAGAAAAGTAATGCTAAAGGAAGTGATCTCCATCGTGAAATTAAGTTTGTTACCAACTTGGAGTTGGCCCGTGCCACGAAATGCGACAAAATTGAAAATGTTTTGTGTGAAACTGCATCATTGTTTGGGCATAATTGCAGCAATAGGTCTGCAGATACCATTAGTGTATGGTATCACAAATAATTTTGACGATCCTACTGTCTTAATAAAACAAATTCTTATGTTAACTAGCATTAACCACGCTTTTCTTAATTTTATTTTTCATACAGTTAATTACCATCATATACAGGTAATCAAAATTTATGTATTTAATATTAAAAAATTTATCCAAATTAAATAAAAACTCACGTTTTTTATTAAGTACTTATTTCTATATATTAGTAATTATTATTTTAAGTAATTATTTACAGAATGTTACTTTCGAAATGCTACATTTTTGCGACTTGATGAAATTACATGAAGAAATTGTGATTCAACGATACATTGATAAATGTATTATATTTTATGGTGCATCTATATTTATTTTCTACTGGCTTACGTTCACAGCTATATTAGTGGTACCACCTTTAGCGCATCAGCCATTTCCAACAGCAGCTGAATATCCATTTGATGTATCTTATCAACCGCTAAAAGCAATAATTTTCATACACCAATCTATCGCCGGAATAATGGTAGCAGCACAACTGTGTACAAATGTTTATATGGCAATGTTGCTGTGGTTTACATCAGCAAGATTTGAGATGCTAACTGACGAACTAAAAAAGACTACAAATCTCTATCAATTATTCGAATGTATTAAAAAACATCAAGAATTACTCAAGTAAATTCCACAGTGATTATCTTACTTGAGAATAATTTAGTTCAAATCCTGACGTAATGCATTTATTCAGGTACGCAAGTGAAGTTACAATTTGTGCTCGTCCTTTCGCGTTTTCAACTATATTGTGTAGCGCGATTGGCATAATAGTAATCTTTCTTTTGTTCATTAGTGTAAGTACATATAATATTATATTACACGCATATAATTATTTTCTTTTTATGCATAAATACATAATAAGTACCATAATCACCAAACATGTTTAAAAAATTTAAATCATTTTAATACACACGATTGAGACATTCGTCTTTTGTGCATTTATTTTCTTTGAAATATACTATAAAAACACTTACATGAGAGAAAAGTAATGATTTGATAATAGCAGCTAAATTTTATTAGTTGAATCAAACTTAGCTGTAAGAGCTACCGCCTTAGTGTCATTGCTAAGCTTTAGCTATTATAAGTAAAAAACATTCATTGTGCTTCATAAAATTTTATTAGCTAAAATTAAAAATATTATTAATATAAGCAGTTAAATAAATAATAACGAATTTAGATGTACCCCCCCCCCCTCCTAAATTCCTTACCCATGCACATACATTACGAAAAATACTTCATCATATTTCTCTAGCAGTAAAAATTTTTTGTTACAGTGTATAAGTACAAATAGTTAATAAATTTAGCTTGAGCACTAACAGAATTGGCTATCCCTATTTTAAAGACACATTTTAACTACTACAGCTATACGGGAGATCGGGGAGCATCATAAATCACAAAAATTTAAACAGTAAAAAATACATTAAAATGTAAGATTTTTGGTATTAATTTTTTTATATAATTAAGGGATAGTGTATATTTTAGGATTTATTGAGCATTTTTATTCGTTTTTTAAATAAAAATCGAAAAAGATATGTTCAGAAATGACCCATGGGGTACCCCGGCATGGGTCACCCCAATTATACTACTTAATTTTATATTACGAAAATTTAACCTAATCTAAAACGATGAGAATCTATTCAAACAAATTTGTATAGTTTATACATAACCATGTGTATAAAGAGATTGATCTAATTACATTTTTATCATAAAAACACGCGTAAAATACTATTACGTAATTTTTTTATGCATATACGGTTCTGCAGCTACGCAAATTGTTCTACGCTGTTAGTATATGACCCATGATGCTCTAACAAAAAATGGCCCATGGTGCCCCGATGTGTCTAATAAAAAACGGTGAAATCTAACATCGAAGTAAACAATATATAATTACCTGTACTACAGAGAAAATGCGGAAAGATATGTAGAATCACGTATGTAATTTGTAATAAGTATATTATACTTTGTTGAAACAACGTATAAGAAATTTTTACAGGTAAAATAATTACTTTCGCACTACGAGATTCTTTAATGACATATGTACGGAAAGATAACGGAAGTGAATCACTGTCATCTAGATACATAATATGGGCAATTAAATAACAATCATATGATACCAATTGCACTAACCTAAACATTCTAGATTTCCCTAAATAGTCAATGACCTATGATATCCCGTGACCCATGGAGCCCCGATCTCCCCTACATATATTAACTCCCATTGCTAATCCTTTTTTTCTATGTAGCTAAATAATGGTCTTTACTCTTTCCCCAAAAAAAGTTTTAAATTTAAAAGACATTTAATATTACCTTATATATTTTTGCACATCCTTCAATAAAAGCGCTTAATTCGGAAGTTTACTTTTAACGAATAATTGGTCACGAATAATCCATCGTGTATAAAATGAGCATTTATCAGTAGCTAAGAAATTTTTATTTTTTATTTATTTTCAATTAATTCTAATTTTATTATAATATATTTAATTGTAGTTTATATTGCAAGAATTTAAAACAAACTTTTAAAAAAATTGGAGTTCAAACGATAATTTTATGATAAGATGTCGAACATTGCTATCACATTTACGTTAAATATTATAAATAATATTAAAAATTGTTATAAATAAATTCTTGTAATTAGTTGTAAGTTGGTTTAACGCCATACTAATAAAATGCATTGTTTCAAATGTAAATGCAATATATCTTCAATTTGTACTCATCTATGTATATTAAAAAAATTGTCAAAGCTGCGTACCAATATTCACTACCAACACTAAAAATGTATAGTATATATAATGTTCATTGTAGATTTTTAGCACTGACAGTGAATACTGGAACGTAAACCAAGTTAATGAATAACTCTACTTCTTGAACAGTCTATACTGAAATTTTTTCTTTCAGTTAAAATGTCAACTTTAAAGTAAAACATATTTTTTTCTCAATTTTTTTTGTTTCAAAGTTTTAAATTTTTATATGAAAGAGTCATTTCTCTCATTTTGTCAGATGTAATTGTTGTAACATATACATACATACAAATTTTTTAAATATACAAGGTGTCTGGTAAATACCGTAACAGTGTTTAAAGATAGATTTCTGAGATTATTTTGAGATAAAAATCTTAATATCAAAATATCGAAGCTATAATAATTTTTGAATTTTTATACAAGCATTTAAAAGTTAGAGAATCATTTCACTTAAAATTTGCGCATTTAGATGTGAATAACATTTTACGTTAGCGCATTTACTTATCATATCTAAAATTGTGAATTTTAGGTGATATTATTCTAACTTTAAATGCTAATAATTTATAAAAAAATTATAACCTTGACATTTTGATATTAGGATTTTTGTCTTAAAATGATATCGGGAATCTACCTTTAAACGTTATTACAATCTTTACCTGACAACCTATATAAATTAACATACTTTTTAAAGATATTACAGTATATATAGCCATTACCTGAGTTTTATTTAGTTGTAAAATGTGATACATATTAAACCAAGACAATAATAACCTATCGATGTCCTTTACTACACAACAACTACACGCTACTTAACAATACGATAATTTTCCGGAAAATTATATTTTCTTGAAAAATTATTGTATATATTAAAGAATAATCTAGATATTACATATACATATAAGCAATATCGTTATACTTATCCTAATTACTATTGTACCCTTCATCATTATATTCATGTATTAATACAAAACAATAATTTCAATTACATCAAAAAATTTTAGTGTAAAAGTATCAATATGTGTGGAAATAACATGTATATCAATTTTTTAAATAGAATCAACCTATATCGCTAATACTACAGTTTTTCGGAATGAGTATAATAGGTTTATCAGAAGTATTTATGTATACTTGGCCAGCAGAACATTTGATGTACATGGTAAATACTTATTATTCAAATATTTTATTCTGTTAAGTTATAATTCATTTTATTATTTAAACTGCTATTTTTATCTGTTTATTACCCAGAGCAAATATGTCGCAGAAACAGCGTTTTATATGCTCGAAAACAGTAATTTAATTGAAATATGGAAATGTCTTCAAATTATTATAATAAGAGGTCAAAAACCAGTAACAATTTCAATTCCTTGCATTCTGCCTATATTATCCCTTAATTATTTTACAGCGGTAAGATCAAGTTACAAATTGGTTAAAGTTAAAATTTAATTAAAGTTTACTAATATATTTCAATTTATGTTAATTAATTATTTGATATTATCATATTATATAATTATATACATCTGTACGCATTAATGATTAATATATACAAAATGACAGCTTAAAACAAATTTCTTTAATTTTAAATTATTATTTCAAACGTTAACAATATTTAAATAAATATTATTTTTTATGAAATTTTTTTTTATATATTTATGTGTTATTCTCTGAATTGTGAAAAATATAATTTTTCATTAACATAAAAAAACTTATTTAAACTATATTTGTTATTATATGTGTTACAGTATATTTCAACTATACTTTCCTATTTCACTTCACTGCGAGTAATAATGGACGATGATAACGATTAATAAAAACAAATACAATTGAAATATTTGTTTTAAACAATTAATGGTTGCACAGAAGAAAGTTTTTATAATTGCAATTATTGAAATATAGTATTGTCAAAGTCATGGACCTGAGTGATCTTTGGAAGGTTTTAGCTCGCGCTCGTTATTCAAAAGTTATTAACAAAATAAGTTTTGCTAATATATAAAACAAAAATTCTCTACTTAAAAAATTTTTCTGCTTTAAAAACAAACATTTTTTCTGAAAATATTATTTTCTTGTATAATTTTTGTTTTTAAAGTAGAAAATTTGTGATTTTATAACTTTTTCTTCGAAGTAAAATTCACCTTACATTCTTTCCTGCCTATAGACATACCATGCACTGTACAACTTTCCACGCGAAGCGAGGTCCATTCTACCTATTCATACTATTATAACTCAGTGTCATAAAATTATAAATAAAAAATAATCAAAATAATTAAAACAATATTTACTGTAGACTACACATATTAATTCTCTTTCAAAAACAAAACTGAAAGTTAATTGAAAGAGGGTTATGTATCAATAGACGATATTATAATGTTAAACTTTTTACTATAGTAGTGTAATATTACTATTTCAACTATATTAACGTGAAATTCCAAGTATAACAAAGTAGCGTTTATTTCCACCTTTATTTCTACAGCATTTTGATAAAACTAAGGTTGCACCAGAGAATTTTATCGTATAATGATGAATAATATTACTGCAGCGTATAGCAACGATATCTTCAATTACTTACATATTCTATGACTTATAAACCATTCTCAACCTAGTACTCATCACATTACGTATAATGATAGAAAATAATGGTGTTCAAGAAGAATTTCTTTATGCTTTCGAAAAGAATTCAATGCACAAGGTACAAAGTATACATTAAATTAATGCATTGAAATATCTTGCGAGAAGCGTATGCTTTTTTTAGAATTTATATTAAGAATTCTACATATACTTGTGGAGTGTAAATCTGCTAGGCAATATCATTCTTATATTTCGTGAGAATTACATCGTAGAAATATATTCGAGGAAATCCATTAGAACTTCGTTTATATAAAATTTTCTTCTATGTATATTCGTTTACTGTAATATTGCAGTTCTTTGAGCGAGATCTTTTTCATATACGTTTCTCGTAACGCGTACATATGTGTATGTGATATGATCATGAAGAAAAACTTGACATTAAAGAAAGTGATCGCTATCGTAAAGATAAGTTTGTTCATAACATGGTGCTGGCCTCTTCCAAAAGATACAGTTAAGCTTAAAATTATCTGTGCGGGACTATACCAATATCTGTGTCTAATTTTAACTTTAGGTCTAATCATAGGTCTAATGAATACAGTTAGAAACCACCTAAATGATCCTCTCATCATGGCAAAATCGATAATCATAATGTGTCCTACTGTGCATGTTGTTTGCAATATCATAAGCTGTAAAATTAATTCGCGTCGTCTGCAAGTAATTATTAGTATCAAATATATTTAGTAAGAGTGAATTTTAAGAATAAAATATCAAATATAAAATAAAATTTATCTTGAGACATGCGTGTATACTTTGCATATATAATGCCGGTCTAATCGCTTTCAGTTGATAACTTTCGAAATGGAAAATTTCTGTCAATTACTTAAGCCTCACGAAGAAGCAATTGTTCAGCAATATATTGACAAATGCGTTTACTTTTACGGTGGCTCTATGTTTTGGATTTATTTAAGTGCTGTTGTCGTCATCACTGGACCTGTCACGCTAGATCAACCATTTCCAACAAACGCCGAGTATCCGTTCGTCATTTACCGGCAACCGTTAAAAAGTATTATCTTCGTACATCAATCTATTGTATGTATTCAAGCTGCTGCTCAGTTATGTATGAATATCTTCATGGCTCTACTGCTTTGGACTACCTCAGCGAGATTTGAATTATTAGTCAAAGAGTTACGAACAGTCACCAATGTTCACGACTTAATTCAATGCATTCGACAACATCAAAGATTGCTACAGTAAGTATTTAAAAATATTTATGTTAGACTTGTTCTTTTTTTATACTCATACAGGAACAACTGAATATCTTGCACGAGTTATCTATTGTCTTTTTTTCTTCAATGGCTGCTTTCAGTAAAAAAAAAGCTACTTTGCAAAATTTTGTTATAAAATTCTTTAACATAATTGATATTGCTCTTAGTTTCTTACTAAATCTAAATGTATGCACCAATTATATTAAAGAATTTTACAACAGTTATAAAACTACTTTTTTTCTGCTGAACGCAACTAATGTGAAAAGAAAATGACACAAATGAACTATACAAAAAGTTCAGTCCTAGGTGTCCTGGATATGAAAAAAGAAATAGAACAGACTTATTGTTATAAAGTTGTAATCATAGAGATATTTAGATCAAATTTAAAATAAAATATTTAATAAAATTCAAGCATACCAAGTATAAACTAACTTAGAAAGTCTATAATATATTACAAATAATTATAATAACGTTATTAAATATATTTTTATAAATCAATACTATTATATGTAAATTTTTTAAATACATATTTTAATTTTATATTTTAAAGTTTTTACATTTTTTTATAAGTAAACTTATTATAGCTCTCTGAACAAGATTCCAATTTTATAAATATATTAAAATTTTTTTAATATTAAAAACATCAGTTTTAAGTATTAATCATGTATTGATAATATGTTATGTTATCTTCAATCTGTATCTCATTAAAAAAATAATTTTTCTAAATTTGATAAGCAATATTTAATCATACTGCATTTTCTAAATTTTTGGAAAAATTTATACATAAAAACAAGATATTTTAACACGATTATTCAATATATATTTATTTTAGATATGCTCAAGAAGTGGTTGGCATAGTTCGCCCTTTTGCATTGACAACTATAAGTCTCAGTACTTTCGCATTAATAATAATCGGTCTAATTTTCATTACTGTGAGTATTATAGTATATTATTAACAATAACATTATGTATCTATTGTATAAATATTTTGTAACTTTAAATTTACGTGAAAAAAATTCATTTTCTCATATAATAATTTTAAATAACAAAAACTCCTATATAAATCAAATATAAACTCGGAGTGAAAAGGACACTATAGGAGTCAAGTGCAGATAACTTTACGCAAATGCTGGTATATATCAAACAAAACTTTTTTATTATAACAATTATACTATATAATTATTATAATAAAAAAGTTTTGTTTGATATATATATCAGAATTTGCATAAAGTTATCTACGCTTGACTCATAGTGCCCTTTTCTCTCCGAGTTTGTATTTAATTTTCTCAATATATATTTGCATTCACTTTTGTTCCTTTTTACGCTTTTTACACTACATTCGCATTATAGCATATTCTCTGGAAATTAATTAAGGCTAATTTTATAATAAAAGTACGAATGTGTACAACTATAACTTATGAATTATAAGCAATTAAAAAGTTCGTCATTCTAAACCAAATAATAGTTCATCTTTCACTTTAGTTTTTAGTTGCTTAATAAAAAGAAGATATTATGTAAAAATATTTTTGCAATAATTTCATTCTTTATCAGTTATTCAGAAAAACAAAATTTGTGTTTTTTGTATGAACTAAGATACTTTAAATTTAAACTTTTTACAATCTCCCCCTTTTCCCCTCTCTCTCTATTTACACTAATCTCCGAAAAAAGAGTCTAAGTGAGATTGTACCTCTATTCCGCCCATCTCCTCAATTAGTATAATTATATCTAATATAATTTAAATTACTATAATTATAATTATGACTGCTACAGCATTAGTAATAATAATTATATGTATAATTCTATCGGCCAATATGTATAGCTGACAACCAAAAATAACTACAATTATAGTTATTATAACCATAAAAATGAAATTCCCATAAATAATGAGTTAAATATATAATTATAACTATGTTCGGTTTGCCAACTGTATATGTTATATTAACTGACAGAAGTATACATAAATTTATTATTAATAATACTATACATATAGTGTATGTATGTGTATAGTCATAATTATAATTGTAAAATTGTAATATGTAGTAATATGTATTTATAGTTACAAATAACCAAACAGCTTTTCTCTTAGTGTTGTACATTATTATTAATTATAACACCAAGAATTCAATTAACCCATTTCGTCCCAGAATGACAATTTTGATCATCAACGTTGAACAACGTATTGTCATCTGTTTTCATCTCCCAATGCAAAAGACATAGTCCGCTATTTTCGAGGTCGCCCTATCGATTTATGCCATTTAAAAAACGAAAAAACAATGACCAACCCCTGATTTTTTTAAATTAAACAAAAAAAGGGTAGTTTTTAAGGATATTTTTTTCAAAAAAGTGCAATTTCCAATACAAAATACACCTTGAAATTCAGTAAAATGAATGAAAATAGGGCGGTCGATGTCCAATGTAAAGAGTTATGCCATTTGGTTATTTTATTTTTTTTATTTTTATTTATTTTTTATTTTTTTGTAAAACCACTCCTGAAGAGGCTACTTTGGCAACAACTAGGATTGAATCGAGATTTCGCTCACAAAGTTATTTGCAGTGTACACATATGTATATGTATATTATGTATGTTTTCGATATATGTGTACACTGCAAATAACTTTGTGAGCGAAATCTCGATTCAACCCTAGTTGTTGCCAAAGTAGCCTCTTCAGGAGTGGTTTTACAAAAAAATAAAAAATAAATAAAAATAAAAAAAATAAAATAACCAAATGGCATAACTCTTTACATTGGACATCGACCGCCCTATTTTCATTCATTTTATTGAATTTCAAGGTGTATTTTGTATTGGAAATTGCACTTTTTTGAAAAAAATATCCTTAAAACTACCCTTTTTTTGTTTAATTTAAAAAAATCAGGGGTTGGTCATTGTTTTTTCGTTTTTTAAATGGCATAAATCGATAGGGCGACCTCGAAAATAGCGGACTATGTCTTTTGCATTGGGAGATGAAAACAGATGACAATACGTTGTTCAACGTTGATGATCAAAATTGTCATTCTGGGACGAAATGGGTTAATGCATTCTGCAATCTTTAATTATTATTAAAATTTATATTTTTTAATGAAAATTTGTAAAATTTGTTTTTTTAATTAAGGGCCAACCGATATCAATAAAAATTCAATGCGTTGGTCTTACTTTTAGTGGATTATCAGAAGTATTTATGTATACATGGCCAGCGGAACATTTGATTCACATAGTAAGTAACTTATAAAGAAAATTTATTTAAATTATATCATGATCGTTTAATATTTTGCAAGAGCGGTGAAATAATGCGACAAGCTGCTTTTGATATGCAGTGGTACAAGCAACCAGTCGCTTTACGAAAGTATCTACAAATGATTATGCTCAGGGTTCAGAATCCAATAATTGTCGCAATACCATGCGTTATGCCTGCATTATCTTTAAATTACTATGCATCGGTGAGAAAAGAATTTAAGTATTGTTTTGACAGTGATCAAGCACATCAATCATTTGGACAAATCATTCTTCACAATTCGATACGTAAAACAAGTTATTTTATATAATAATTACTTATACATTGACCATGTATAAATATATGACAAATATTACTTTTAAAATTATCAGTCTTCAATTAATAATTAAAAATTAATAGCTAATTTATTTTTAAACGACATATAAGAAAAGTATACAAAGTGTTCGGAATTTAAATGTCAAAACTTTGGGAGCGTGTATTGGGAATCGATAAATTAAAAAAAAAATCATATAGGAATATACTTGTTTTTGCTTCGTTTTGGAGAAAATCGCAAAAGGGACAAAACGTAGTAGCTTCGTTCTTGGACGTGAAGGAGTAGTATCTTGACCACTCCCACCGACCACGTAATCTGTGTGGAAGGTCCTAAAATATAAAGTTTATTCGTTGTCAATCAATTCAAAAGAACAATTGAAAAATCGAAGCTACACCACCTAGTGCACTAAATATCACCAGATCAGTATTTGACTACAACACGAGCTGTCCGTATTGATATGATATGCTTGTATTCCTGCAAGAGGTCAACATTTTAAATAATATATACGTTAAATAAGTGAATAAATATAATATGAATAAGTAACAAAAAAGTACAAAAACGAAAACTACGTTTGTCTTTTTAACGGTTTTCCCCAAAACGAAACAAAAACGAGCATATCTCTACAAGATTTTTTTCTTAGTTTATCGATCCTCTACTCTACACGCTCCCAAAGTTATGACATTGAAATTCCGGATACCCTGTACATTTCAAAATCATAAAAAAAAATTATGTATTCATATATTACGAATTTCCACATACTCCATTTTTTTAGACAACTGTTGCGTTCTCCAATAAATCTCATTCTAATGAAAGACTTCTCATAAATTATATGTTAATATGCGTATTATTAAACTTTGTACTAATTTTGCTCACAATTATTACTCTATTTACACGGTCGATTATTTTTTGTATTAATATTTTAGACATATTATAATATTATATGATTGTAATCATAAAAATTATAATTATAATTTTGTCAAAATTAGTTTCGATTTCATGCGTACATTTGAGTGTGCGTGCGTGCGTACTTGTGCGCACAAAAGTACTTATATCAATGAACAATGCTTATTATAAATAAATTAATATAGCTTTCATTTCTTGTTTGTTTACAATTTGTTAATTTCACTAAATACTGTGTACAATGTACTATTGAATAATATATATATATACTGTAATAATAATAACTTGTAATATAGAATAAATTACTGACATCTATTAAATAATGTACACTACACATTATTTAATAGATGTTTTAGTGATCATTCTATTATAAGTTATTATTATTTCATAGTTAACAATTCCATAATATACGCACGTAAAATTTTTGTATGGCAAAAGTCAAAAATTATATTAAATTATTATTAATGTTACAGTATTTATCGACTATATTTTCGTACTTCACGACACTACGAATAATTATGCAAAATGGACAAAACGAAGAATAACTTTAAAAAATTCTTCTTTTGTAAAGTGATATTAGAGAACTTATAAAATGTTATAGTTAAGGAGTTAAATAGAATTGATTACTATTAGATTACAAAGTCGAAATACTAATACTCTTACTGGCATAATAATTAATGATGGAAAAATATTTATTTCAAAAAATAAAATATTTTCTCATAATTAACTACATGACTCGATTTTAATAATTATATAATTCTTAAATTATTTAACGACATTTAACTATCTTAAAAACCTTTTTCATGCAATTATCTTTGCAGTTTGCAAGATAATTATATGTATATTTGTCCTATAAGTTCTATTCAAATATATGTGTTTGCTTATACAAATGCACTTCAAACTAATATTATATAATAAAAAAATACAGTCCAAAATTAAAAATATCCGCTGCAATTCTTTATAGTCTATTCATTTTAAGATAATAAAGCCATGGATAGTTTTACATTCACTTCAATTATATACAAATGTATATAATGATACAATATATATATATGTATGTATTAACATAAAAATATGTATCTGATATGATTTTCACTGATCCATTATTCTAATTTTTTTATTACTTACCGACTCGAAACGCAACGGGTGGAGTTATCTGCCATATAGCTATGATGATACTGTAACACAAAAACATAAAATTCGAATTAAAATAATATTTTATACATGTATATTTGTTAATATTAAACCTGTCAATAATATTTTACCAAATATCTCAAAAAAATCTTTAAATATGTATAATTTAAAATATTTTATTTATTAAACATAGAGTAGATTTATTCGCGTCATATACTTCAATATGTTCCAACAAACTCCTACTGTAGTTCTTACTCACTCAGAAGAACTTGTACTGGAGTAGAAACTATGGTAGAAACATGTTGGAGCATATTGAAACATGTAACGCGAACAAACCTTTTAGAGAATCTCTAATAATTTGTTCGTGTCACATGCTCCAACAGGCTCCTACTTGCTCCTACCAAAACTCCAATGAACACGTTGAAGTGAGTAGAAGCTATGATAAAAGCAGATAAGAGCATGTTGAAACATGCAATGTGACGCGAACAAACTTCAAAATTTTGTGCTTCTACTACATCCTGCCAGACGCCAATCTCGCACTTATTATCACAAGAGCAGCGGAACGCAGCCAGTGTATGACCTTGTATGTTTCGTTATTGGTTAGCACCTTCTTCTTCTTCTTTAGGCCCAAAGATTTCAGATTTCAAAAACAAGACTTATTTTATACCTTGAAGACAGTGGCCTTTAGAGAGAGAATCCTTGTAGACTATATGGGATCTTTTGGCCTGTAGCCTGTAGGTTAGCATTAGCACCTTTAATATATATAGTTCACTTACGAATTAAATGAGTTGCGACGTCACTCGTTTCGAATCCGGTCTGTCATGGGTCTGTCTGCAAATAAAACACGTATAGCGATGTTGTCTTTTACGCGGTTAACTTCACACGTAAGTACAGGTAAAAAAAACAAGTCTATTAATTTTTAAATTTCGTGCACTTTGTTGGATCGAAAAGTAACCAAGCGCAACGATATCCCTATCTAGTAAAATTGTCGTTAAAAAGTTACAGAATGTTCAGATTTCCACCCCCAGTCGGGGCAAGACGGGAGCCATCCCACCACCTCCCTCTTTTGACGTCGGCTTATTTCGCCGAGACTCGCTAACATTCGGCTACTTCTTCGCCTCTTACATTTTGGTCTGTTTACGGCAGTTTACGGCCTCGAGTCACGACGAAATTAGTCGAAGTCAAAAGCGTTTTGGAGCCATTAACTAAGAAGAAGTCAAAAGCGTCAAAAGACACCCTCTCGATCGCCGTGATTATCGCCTACGCCTACTCCTCATAGAAAGGTTCCGTCCGTCTATATGTCGTTGATTCAACATGAGTAATGAAAAAGAGTTCCTACTTACAGAAGATAAAGCTCGTGTAAGTTTTTATTTTGTCTTCTTATTTGAATTGATATTTTTATCATTACACAAGGCAAGCTCATATATCTATATGGTCTGGATTATTGTTTTAGGAACAAATACGAGAGGAATTAAAACATATGAGTTTTGAGGATTTACAGAAGTTAAAGGAAAAATTAGGAACTAAGGTGGGTAAAGATCAAATGGAGGGTGATAACCTCAAAAATCGAGCGTTTTTGCATAAAACGAAAGAATCTGGCAGAAAAAAGCGTCGCTCTGCCCCGCGAATCGAGATATTAATCGTTAAAGTTCACGACTATTCAGGTTAGGATATCTGTCATACTGACTTGATATGAACGCTATGTGTACATACATACATACTTTTATGCATACAGGTGTACAATGAGACACTATTTGGAAAGAAAAATAAGAAGAAAATGGAGAAAATAAAGTTTAAACGGGAAAATAAGAACAGGCCACGGGAAATGTCTTCTAAAAAGTCAATTCCAATCAAATGTGAAGAGATGACACAAGTCAAGGAAGTTGTATTTCGAGATCCTAGATTTGATAGTTTATGTGGTACATTTAATGAAAAGGTCTTCAAGAATTCTTATACATTTATTAACAAGTTACGGGAAAATGATCTTAAAACTTTGCAAAAAGAACTGACAGAAGCTACAGATTTCAAAGCCATAAAGAAGATAAAATATCTTATCCAGAGGCTTGAAAATCAATTAAGAGAAGAAAGGAAAAGAAAGGAGAAAGAAGACAAAAAACGACTTGAAAAGAAAGAATTACTGGAATCTGTTAAACGAGGAGAGAAGCCTGTCTTTAAGAAAAAATGTAAGTTGATTTTATTATTAATATGATTCTGATTTATATTATTTTATTTTATTTGTCTTTTACAGCTGAGAAGAAAGTCTTGGACTTAGTCTCACAGTATGAAGAATTAAAGAATACAGGAAAACTGAAGAAGCATATTCAAAGATTACGGAAAAAGAATAAACACAAAGATAGAACAAAACTAACAGTGGAGGAAACATAATGAAACATATTGCTCATTTGTTACAACTGTGACACAACTAAAAAAACAAAGTTTTCTAGAAATTGAACTTGTATGTTTCGAATTATTAAAATTCTGTAATATTAATTTTGAAATGCAGTTTTGATGATTGATTGTAGAGGAATAAAAGTATCTGCTTTTAAAGTATGTGTTTTTTAAAATTATATTTCCATTCTTTTTTGACAAACAATTAAAAAATAATAGTTATAGCAAATGAGCGATATGTACATATGCATATTAATTTAAAAGAAATGTAAATATGATTGCATTTGAATTTATTAATCGAACTTATTAAATCGAATTATCAATGAAGTACTATTAAAAACAGCTAGCCATGTAAATAAATTTTATATTATAATTATCTTTATAAGTCCATTGCCTTAGTAGAGAGATCCGTAGTTTATTTTCTTAGTTTATTATACAAAGTCTCAACTCCTTTTATTTTACTTGTGATTAATCAAGTACTAAGGCAAGTAAGAACACTGCCCTTTTTTATTCTTGAATTCTGTTTACTGACATTCGTTATTATATTAATGGTGATATCTATAATATAATTTGATAGCTAACTTTTTAAAAAAATGTTTATGAATCTAAAGTATAACTACAGTTTTGCATATTCTTTTATTTTGAGAAAGAAATTTCCATTTTGCAGCTTTTTGTTCTTGTTAATGTTATTGTAAAGCATTTACAGCAAACAAATGTAGGTAGATAATATTCCTCATATAATAAGGAAATTTTGCTTAACTTACAGAGTTATAGTTTATATATTTAAATGTTTAACTTGTACATATAAAACAAGCTATAAATTATAATCAATTAACCATTCCTCTTTCACCAACGCCGATTAACTTAATCGACGCGATTAGTCCATTGGAATTGACCAATCGCGTCTGTCGTCAAAATAAAATGATAAATGCGATTGATCAATTCCAATGGACTAATCGTCGATTAAATTAATTGGCGTTGGTGAAAGAGGCCTTAACAGAATAAAATAAAAAATTACTTTATATAAAATGTTAAAAAATTATAAAATAAATAATTATACAAAATAAATTTATAAAATATAGGAATAGAAGATACGCGCGTGTATGTATATGTGTGCATAATGTGTGTATATATATATACACACACACCATATACATATCTTACATACATATGTTCCGTCAGGTTAGGCTATAGAGACGCGTTAAGATTATAGACAGAGATACAATATATTTCTCTCTCGACTATAATAAATTTTACTGAAACTATTATCATGTATACAAAAGTCGGAGCTCAAAGAGAGGAGTTTGTTTAAATCCCTCTTTATTTATTTCAATTTATCTTGTATTTCTAATGGACATATTAATCCATAACCTATTTTGTTAGTGTTGGCAAGAAAGATTAGTTAAATAATCAATTAAATTTAATTTGGTTAATTATTTTGATTATGTATTTCGAGATTTAAGTGCATATGTATACAGATTTGAAATTAATATTACTTCTTAATAATTGATTGAGTGCGTTAAATTATTATTCCAACGTTTCAATTATGTCATAAAGAAAATTTATATTAAGTATATATTCGTATAAAAAATATGTATTAATATATTCTAATATATAGTAATATATATTTTCCTTTGAATATATTAAGATATGTTATAAACAAAAATTTAACAATGGCTAAATCGACGCAGGTAATTATCATTTAATGTCAAATATATCGCTCCTTATATTGTTTTATACAATTAAGTATATTAATTTACAGTTATTTGCTGGACCTCCACCTATTTGGCCTGATATTAAATCAGAACTGCTGAAATATATTGAATGCCCTGAACGATTACCTATACATCAACTGGACAGTACTCAATGTTATTGGCCACGTAAAGCAGATGTACTTTCCTTGTTAGAATTTGATTTAGCTCCTGTTAACACCACGCTTAAATTTGACCGTGATCCAACAACAGGCAAGATTGGCGAGATACAAGAGATTGAATTACAAGGTGCAGGGGAAACGGCAAGAAATTCTATGTCTATGACTCGTGCACCTGGATTACTTACAGATGGAGTTCGAGGTATTCTAATTTTGTCTCAACATGATATTTCTCTTAATTAAAATTCTAATATATCAGTTCTAATATATTAATTAGAGCATATGTTGTACCAAATAATATACTTTCTGTAGGTAATCCTAGCAATATTCCATTTTGGCCTGGTGGTTTTGAAGAACCTAAAGTACCTAAAAGTGAAGACATAGATGATATCGACTTTGAGAAGGATTTAAGGACATTAGCCAAAGGATTTAGCTCAGGTTTAGAATTTAAAAGTGATAATTGTACACCAATTAATTGCATAAGATACGAAGTAGAAGCTTCTACATTAGAAGAAACTGAAAAGTTAATAATCAATAATGATAACATAAATTTAATGGCTGTTATACATGAAGAAGGAAATTTGCTTGGTTCATGGTCTTCAGTTGAAGAGCCGAAAAAAGAAAATGTTCAAGCTGTAGATAGTAACATTCCCTTTATGGATAATTCCATTTTACCTAAAGAAACAGATATACCTATCTTGAAAATATCTGAGACACAAACAGAACTTACAAAGGCAGAATGGGCAGAGCAACTGGATGTATCTGCACCAGTAACAGACTTTAACAAAAGAATACCTGATCCAGCAATTACATTCAGTTATGAACTAGACACTTTTCAAAAACAAGCTATTCTAAAATTGGAAGAGAACTGCAATGTCTTTGTTGCTGCACATACATCAGCAGGAAAAACTACCGTTGCTGAATATGCCATTGCATTAAGCCAAAAACATATGACGAGGTAAAGTTTTAAAGACAAAAATTAACTTTGTAGTACTATTGTGGTATTATCTAATAGTTATTTTTATGTTATTCTAGAGTGATTTATACATCCCCCATAAAAGCTCTGTCAAATCAGAAATATCGTGATTTTAAGAGGAAATTTGAAAGTGTTGGGTTATTAACAGGTGATTTGCAAATAAATCAAACTGCTTCATGTCTAATCATGACAACAGAGATCTTACAATCAATGCTGTATTGTGCATCTGATGTTTTACGAGATTTAGAATTTGTCATATTTGATGAAGTGCATTATATAAATAATGAAGATGTGCGTAATACTGATTTTATAAATATGTCACGTACAATTTCTATAATTCAACAATCTATATTTATAAAAATTGTATTCTCTCTGTATTTTTAGAGGGGTCATGTATGGGAAGAAATAGTCATTCTTTTACCACAGAATATTAATATAGTAATGTTATCTGCGACTGTACCAAATCCAATAATATTTGCGGATTGGGTCGGTCGTATTAAAAAGCGAAAAATGTACGTGATTAGCACTTTGAAAAGACCAATACCTCTGTTACATTATTTATATACTGGTACTGATGGCAAGACTAAGGATGATAAGTTCTTAGTTCTTGATAGTAACAGCCAATTTTTATTGGATGGGTAAATATCACTTTAATTAAAAGAAACAAGGAGACACAATAAATGACATTTTAATATTTAATACTTTAGATGGTACAAAGCGACAAATGCATCCGATAAAAAGAAAGACAAAACGTCGAAGGACTGTAGGAGAAAAATTCAGATGACGCCGAAACAAGAAGAAGTATTATGGAGAGCATTTGTAAGCCACCTTCAGAACAATGTACGTTGTTGTACCTCTATATACTATTTTTCATTCTACAGAGAAATTATAATTACTTAGTACATATAATGCTGTCAATTTTATAGGATATGTTACCCGTTGTTGTATTTACTCTGTCGAGGAAACGCTGCGATTTAAATGCTACTACATTCAGAAATCTTGATTTAACGAATGCGAGAGAAAAGCATCAAGTACATGTATTTTTCCGACATAACATAAAACACCTGAAGGGTAGCGACAGAGAATTACCACAAGTACTTATGATGCAAGAGCTCCTGGAAAAGGGTGTGGGTATACATCACAGTGGGATATTGCCAATTTTGAGAGAAATCGTAGAAATGTTATTTCAAAGTGGAGTTGTAAAGGTAATTTTCCAAAGAAATAAAGTTAAAACACATTAAAAAAAAAAAAAGACTTAATAACACTTTCAAATTTTGAAGATTATAAAAATTAAAAAGATGTAATAGAATTGCATTTTACTGCATTTTCAGTTATTGTTCGCGACGGAAACATTTGCTATGGGAGTTAACATGCCGGCGCGCACAGTAGTGTTTGATTCTATACGGAAGTTTGACGGGAACAACTTTCGTACTCTATTTCCAACTGAATATATACAGATGGCTGGTCGTGCTGGACGTCGAGGTCACGACACTACCGGTACTGTTATAGTAATGTGTAGATATGACATTCCGCACTTTAATGACTTGAAACCTATGATGTGCGGTGAACCGCAAACATTGGAGTCAAAATTCAAAGTTACGTATTCCATGCTTCTTAATCTGAGAAGGGTGAATGAATCCGTTACCGTTGAGGCGATGATGCGCAAATCTTTCAAGGAATCGCCATTGGCTTCGCAAGAAGCATCATATAACAATGAGTTACGGAAAATCGAACGCGAATTATTGAATTTGCCGCCTTTAACCGAAATCCAAAAAAAACTCTCTACGTTCTATCATCAAGCAGTTGATTATCTGGAAGATGTTAAATTCCTGAATCCTTATTTGCTCTATTCAAAAAAAACAGCGAAAAGTTTAATCGAGGGTAGAGTTTTGTTAATATCATATGCGAATCATTACAATAAACTAGCCCTGTTACTGCAAGTTTTATATCATAAAAGCTCTGCTCAATATAAAGTCTTGATACTTAAGGACGCGAATGTATCCACTTCCGAAATTACTGATTTTAAAAGTCCTCAGATATTCGAGAAGTGGTGCGAGATTATTAGTCTAACAAAAAAGGAGATATTTGTACCAAGCATTAATCCATCACACGAAGTTTTAACTCTGTTTCCATGGCATATATTGAAGATAACTAATTGTCAGATAAAAATTGATTGCTCTTTGGTATTAAATGATTGGGAAAAGAGGCAAATCTCACGATTCAAGTAAGAAATAATATAACGAAATAGTAAAAATTCTTGACTTGATTGTATTACTTAATTTTATTATCGATTATTTCTTGTTTTCAGAAACGATCCACCGGGACAAACATGTCAGACAGCGGTTCAAGAATTGACTTCTCTATCATTTAATGCTTCTACTAATACTCGCATTCTACAACCATATATTGAGCCTTCATCAAAAAATGATTTTCTATTAAGAATACAACATAGAAATAAATTAAAAGCTAGTCTGAACAACATGAAATGTATGAAAATACCTAACTTTGAAGAACAATTTAGACCTGTATTTGAGCGAAACCATCTTGAAGATAAAAAGCGATTGCTTCAACTTAAACTCAGCGATGAAGGAATGGCATTATATCCAGATTATCTGAATATGGTAGCACTCCTCAAACACTTTAAATACATAGATAATGATGAAAGAGGTTTGCATTAATTAAAGTATATAATAATTTTGTAGAGATTTATTTATTAAAATGTAATTATATATATATAACAATATGTATTGTTTGTTATTGTAGTCGCCCTCAAAGGAAGAGTCGCGCTGCAAATGGGTAGTAACGAACTGCTGATAACAGAATTGATTCTAAAAAATGTGTTAACTGTTCTACAACCAGCAGAAATAGCAGCGTTACTATCAGCACTAATCTTCCAGCAACGCACGGATTTCGAACCTCAACTGACACCATCTCTTGCTAGTGTATGTGACGTTGCTTCATTTTACTTTGAATATGTTAAGTGTTTACAAAATTATGTTGCAATAAGAAACAACCCTTGTTTTTTTTTTTCAGGCTTGCAAAATAATGAACGAGGTGCACGCAGAATTAGAACATCTAGAACAATACTATCAACTGTCAACATTACTACCATTGAATTTCGGCTTAGTGGAAGTTGTCTATGAATGGGCACAGGCCAAGTCATTCGCTGAAATCATGAAGATGACAGATGTCCAAGAAGGAATTATAGTTCGTTGCATACAACAACTCGGTGAAACATTACGAGATGTTAAAAATGCGGCTGTGACTATAGGTGACCCGATTTTAAAAGAGAAGATGGAAGAAGCCTCGACTGCGATTAAACGTGACATAGTGTTTGCTGCGTCCTTATACACCCAAGACTGAATGAGTAATATAATCGATAAAATCGATATATTTTGTAAAATATCAACTAAATATTGTTGAAAGTACATTCTATTTGTAAAACAGTATTTTATCATCTGTAAGAGCGTATAATGAACATTTTTTGCAAACATTTTTTTCGGTTTTGGTAATAAAGATAAATCAGATAAATGTTATATTTTGAATAAATGCCTATGAATAATCAAATACTAATGGTAAATAATTCGTACTATAACTCTGTAAATTGCTAAAAGATACTTGATATCAAACAAATCTTATTATTTTACAATGGCTATTTGCACCCTTATTATATATTATTTTACATGTTGAAGCAATATTACGCGCGTTGATCTGGATTATTAAGATTTCCTTGATCTTGATTCAAATCTGAGATGCATGCCCACTGTCCTTCAGAATTTTCACGCCAGAGCGAAACTTTGTTATCTCCACCACAAACCGCTAAGATACCGCCTGTCAATGACCAGCCAATATTCCAGATAACATCATCGAAGACATTAAGAACTTTTGGTGTCCAGCTAGTATAATCATTGGAAGTCCATATGACAATGCGGCGATCCTGCGAGCAAGATGCCAAAGTGGCTCGAGATGGACCAACTGCTGGTGCCCAGGCTACATCGCGAACCTATAAGTATGATAAAAAGATATATATAAATACACAAGTCTTATGATACTTAAATATTTCCATTATAATTAAACTGTACCCAATCACTATGCGCTTCTAGTTTATTTTCTTCTATCCATCTATCACCATCTTCTTTCCATATTTTGACCAAATTATCACAACCACCAGTGGCTAACCGCTTAACAGGTTCATTCCTCTGTTGAGTCATATTGGAATCAGTGGCAGAGTCGACTGCTGGACTCCAACAGACCGCGTTGCAACCGATCGTATGTGCGTTCGTTATTTTCTGCATCTGCCATGTATCTCCAGTATTTGCAAGGATAGAAACTGATCCGTCTGAACTTCCACAGGCCAAAATCAGACCAAACTCATGTGGCGCCCATGCGACTGAGTTAACAGAGGAATCATGACCAGTGTGCTCGTATATCTTAGTCCACTCTACCAATTCCTTCCAAATAATTACCTTCCTGCAAAAATGTATAAATGTTGACTGTGTATGTCAAATATTATCACTGAGATACTTCAGGTGTTATTAAATTATTAGATATATTTAATTATTAAGTAATATTTCAAAACGTATGTATCAAGCAGCAGGGTATGTAGGACTGTGTACCTGTCATAGCTACAAGATGCCAAGAGATTGCCAAATTTTGGGTGAGCCCACGCGACCTGCCACACAGGGCCAATGTGTCCCTTGAGAACGGCAACCAGGCTTTGAGAGCCGTTCTTCAAGTCAAATATCTTCACCGTGTTGTCGCTCGAGCAAGTGGCTAACCTCAAACCGTAATAATCCATTTCCGCATCATGAATCATGTCCTCGTGGCCGGTATCGACGGTATTTAAAACAGATACCATTTTGAAAATTAATTATAACGGACGATACTTTAATAGCGAAATTTATGCTAAGAGATTGACTGGAAAATAAAGGCGGTCGCAAACACAGTACAGGTTATGTGCAGTCTTTTGATGCGTGCTGTCACTACGTGGAAGCATATGCACGATTCGATACTCGAAGTCTCGAATTCGAGAACGATACTTGATAATCGACTTCCGCGCGCAAACAATTCATATTGTATACGTAGCAACATAAATGCATAATATAATACAAATACATATATAGAATATGTCTATCTCTATATACAGGATCCAATCGAATAACATGTAAAAGCAGGTAATTCTTTATAAAAAAATTTTAAAAATATAGAATAAAGTTTTTCAATTTTTTGCTTAGTTTTCGAGAAAATCGAGTTTAAAGTGATCGCCCCGTGTCGCGTCGCCAGACATCACCTGTCGTCACCTCGAGGCTGCGTTTGGAAATATCATCCAGGTTTCCCTGAGTATCATCTTATCCTTATTGTTCATTCAATGTTAAACAAAAATAAGACGATACATGGAGGTACTCGGGTATTTTCGAACGCAGCCAAGAGGAGGCGTATGAATTAATTAAAGAAGTAATTTAGCACAATAAGCGTTTCAAAGGCAGTAACGCTTTTATGATTTAAGGCGCAGACTGTGGAAAAAACCGCAAATCGGAGATTGCTAGCACATTCGCTTTCTTTTTTAAAATTATTGTTTGTCATAAAAGTAAAAATAATAATAGTAAAACAAAATAAAAAAATTAAAAAGATAGTTTTTACATAGTTTCTTTTATAAAAAATTAAGTTTGAAGAAATGGCAAAAAATATTTTTGACTCCGGTGTTAATTAAGTGAATAAAATGTTACAATAGCAATTGTTTGTTTACATTGTTTTATATCCTAAGTGCAAAATGTGAGTTCGTTTTTTTTAAATCTAAGTTTTTAACAATGCTACATCAAACTGAGATTGCATATCCCTTTCACAATACAACGTTCACGTAAAAATATTTTGCTCCTCCAATTTTCTTGCTAAAATTATTGCTGTTTTTTGTATTTGGTAAAAAATTGTGTATCATACACATAAAATCTATAGCACGATATTCTAATATAATATATGCAAGAAAATTTAGGTCTCACAATCAAATAGGAATTATTACCGCTAAATATGAGTCATAGTCATCTGATTGAACATTGTAGAGAGACTTTTTGATAAATTGCACATATGGTTCAGATATAAATTCTGCCTTTATCTGCATCTATATTTATACAAAACATTTTGTTTTTCTTTTTGTTATTATAAACTACAATAAGATCTTTTTTTTGTGCTCAATTTTGTTTCTGTTTTTTATTTCCATCTTTATCACTTTACTGTCAATATTATATGCAAGTCAACCAACGTTTGAAAAAGTTCGGATACTAAATAAAATAATTAAAATTAATTATCTATTAATGTTATTACTGACAGCGAATAAATGACGTAGGTCATGTGATGAAATCACGTGAGATCCCACACCAGACTTCAGAAAGAGGTGAGAGAGGAGAAATCCATGATTCCTCATCTGGACTGTACTTATTTAACAACAGCAGCAGTTCAGCTTCTTCAGTTTCTTCACGAGGATCACAAGCAAATCATAGTACGTGAACATTTCTACATATATCGGTAAATAAGTTTTAGTATCATCATTATATAGTTATAATAATTATTATTTTGGTAAATAAATTCTTTTTTTAATTGCGAAGTAATCCAGATAACACGCATGTCCATAAAAACGAGACATCTTAAAAACATTTTTTTTAAAAAAACATCTTAAAAACGTCTTTCTTATGTCTCGATTTTGAGCTTTTTGTTATCTGTGAAGAGAATACATACGTGCAATGCAGCTCATTTCTCTTTTTTGTGCAATCCGATCTCACTTAATTTTTTATTCCGGCGTACATTTGGCATAATTTCTAGATTTCTTTTTTCACTCACACGATTCTGACGACTAATAGCGAGATATTCTTTTCTGAAAGAAATCTTCTATCTACTCGATCGTCTCGTAAACAGCTTCCTTTTTCTCTTTTTTTTTTCACAAAAGTGATGAAGACATAATTTTGATGCGCTGCAAATATATAGAGAGTTGAAGGCTAAGATCCTGGAAAGAAGATACCAATGACGATGAGTGACTTACAACACTTACGTGATAGAATAGACGCACGTAATCGCTATTAACAGTTGAGGAAACTATTATATCAATTATTAGTAGAAACTTGATGCTAGAGATAAAGAGTTAAATCACTCAACAATTAGAGTTAATAGAAAAGCGTGGAAAACATTCTTTAAAGTATAATGAAGCTCGTAATCGTTTTTTTAAATCTAGGAAAATTAATTTTTATTCTACTTTTATTTTTTATAAAAATACAGAACTACTATTATATACTGTTGTTCAATTTGTCAATTATGGTACAATTGTATTTTATGAGCTAAAGCGTGCGTTTATTTCAACCGGATTTCAAGTTATTTAGTTATAGCTTCTAATTTTAATCTCACAAATAATTAACGATCGAGCTGTTTTTTCCTAACAAAAACTTTTTCGCATGATGTGATCGAATTTGTTCTCTGAATTAAATCGAAATAAATAAATATGCTTAGCATATTTTTATATGAAGAAAAAAAGATATTATTTTTATCTTATTCTTCTGCATAGCTGCCAAAAAATATTGAAGAACATTAGCTGTAAACGGCTTCGAGTAGATGTAAAGTTTGGTTTCTCATTATCTGAATTTACGTCATGAAATAACTCAGATAACGCCAAACTTGTCAAGAGCACGTATTACAAATGTGTGTTTGCATATTATGTTAGCAGATCAGTTTCCAACAACAGCCGGGCATAATCTGCTGTTTCAATTAATAGCGTTTTTTATTGGCAGAATTAAAGCGCACTAAGTGTACTTTAAAGTGTTGTATACTCATCAACGTAATAAAGATATGTGTTTAATAAAAATATAGAAAGAAATTAAACTACGAAATTCTTAATACATTTTACTATACTATTTAATAAATATACATAAGCATTTTATCAATAGATATCTTACTTTTGTATTATAAATTGAGAAATATATGACGACTTTATTGTGTGCACTAAATGTGCAAGTTATTCCAGTGAAAAATGCTAATATTGATGAATAAAAATTGATAAAAATGATCATTAAGACGTAAATGAAATGATATGTAAACACATTTGCACAATACGTGCTCTTGACAGGTTTGGCGCGCTATCTGGGTTATTTCATGACGTAAATCCAGATAATGAGAAACCAAATTTTATATCCACTCGGAACTGCTTACAGCTGATGTTAGCAAAATGTTGTCAGAAATCACGCTTATTCACCTATTAGTACGTCGTAACAGCAGAAATGCAACAGAAACGTGCTGTGCTGTTTCAAAAAATAACAGCAAAAACACACTAAAAACATAGCACGGAAATATTACATCGGATTATAGTTTTTCCATTTATCGATATGCGACATATCGTATTAAATATTTATCTCGTGTTTAAATTTCTGTCACGATCAAATATAAAGACTGCATAACGTAGATATGAAAATAAAATTGTATAGTATAATTGATCAATAGGGTGTCCTACAATTTTTGGCAAAGTGTTCTTGTATATGTAGGGCGGACTAAACTGACAACTTATGAGTCGAAGAGTCCTCTATCATTTTACATTTTTCGACTCACAATCAGTTTAATCCGCTCTATACACACATAAGAACGCTTTACCAAAAATTGCGGGACATTCCTTCGAAAAATGCAGTTTTCCGATTTATTATTTTTTATGCTATCACATCGTAGCATATCGTATACGACATGCACGCAGTTTCTACTGTATTTCTGTCATTAGTATCTGATATAACATTAGGCTATATGTGTTCTGTTTTTCTCATATTTCTGCCATCACCTTATTATGTTCCATTCTTGCTACATATATTATGTTTGGTACGTCATAATAATAAAATCCGAACTTAAAGAAGACACAGTGGACAAAAATCTGCTCTACAATTGTGATTGAATTTACCGACGTATCACTGAAATACTACTAGCATTTTGTTATTTAGAAAGAAGTTAGAAATCCCGAAAACATTGGAAACCTCCAACATTTGTCAACCGCATTTATCGCAATGTATACGCTGAAAAAATATACTTTTTAATAAAACATTTGTTTGAATAGTAATATAAACTAAATATTTATTAAATTTAAAAGTATATGATGTTTATTTAGTACAAGAACTGTTAATTTGATTTAACATTCATTTTTTTGAGTAAATATTTACACGGTATTATTTAAAGAAATATTTATTATTTTTTTTTTTAGCATAGATTTTTCTTAATGTAAAAATACGTAATGTAAAAATATGGCGTCTTTGTCGACGCCATATCCTACCTTCATTGGATTATTTATGTCTTTTAGCTAAATCCAAGAACTTTCCAGAGGTAACGTTAACAATCCTATCGCTAATTTCACAATCGAATAGAAAAAAAAGCGCATTAAAGAGAAGGATATAGAATAATTCCATTTTGTTCTCGTTAGAGATTTTAATCAAGCTGTAATTATTAACATTTTAGATAAAGCGGCCGGTAAAAAAATTACTTGAAGAAAATGAGCCGTAATTTCTGCAACGGTGGATTTTCCCACTCTACTAAATTGATATCGTTGATTTGTCTACTGCTTGTCCTCTCACAATCGACATCGATCATCGCCGGTATGTGATCTTTATTTTTTTTTCAGCTTTTCATTAATTTTTATAAAGAAACACATCGAAGTCATCTTTTGAACCTTATAAACTTTTAACAATATTATTTTTTAGATTAAAATAAAAGACACGTATTTTTTATAAGGACTTAATTACACATTTAGGTCCAAATATCTTTTAAAAAAAAAAATTAGTTTTTTTTTCAACGTATATATGGAAGAGTTACACTTTTACAGTTATTTTTTATAACAATGTGGTAATAATGCTGCAATTTTTTATGACTGTAATGATGACTAACTAAACGCTTATGAGGCTAAAATAGGACTGTAATGATAACTAACTAAACGCTTAAGAGGCTAAAATTATTTTAACCTCATAAGCGTTTAGTTAGTCATCATTACAGACATAAAAAATTGCAACATTGTTTCCACATTGTTATAAAAAGTAACTGTAAAAGTAACTCTTCCATCCCTGTATATATTATATATATAATATATACACACACACACACTGTGTATATATATATATATATATATATATATATATATATTTATATATAAACATATATTCTTCTTAATATAATACATTATAATAAATATATGTAAGAAATGCAGATTTCTCCAAAAACACGCAGATAGATTTATCGCTCGCGGGTGCACTTCGGATCTTTGATATTTGACCTCTCATATCTATTTCTATGATTAATTGTTATACGTGCGCATTCTTCCATAGATATAATCATAAAGTACATACATGTATATATATTTTATACTAAAAATCCATTGCACTAATTATCGCACTTTATACCTTTTTATTAATTATTTCTTTATTATTCTAATTTCTTATATTAAATCATTGGTTTATACAAAAATCGAGTTCCACACATCAGGATTTACAAATCATACAATTTGCAGCACCGTTCGACGAACATGAGGTTGGCGCCGAGATACCAAAATTCACGGTGTCTAACGATAAAGTCACTGAACTACACAAATGTCCAATTCTCGCCTGTAGAATGAACTGCCCTTCGGGACTTGAAGTATATATCCATTATAACTATACATCCACTTTATATTTAAAATATTTAATGTAAATGTAAAACTATCAAGACAGAGCTATTATGATAGATACGGCCTTAAAAAATATGAAATAAAAAAAATTCTTTTTTATTTTATCATTTTTTTAACTTTTGCAAATCATAAGCAAGACTTGATCGAATATAAAAAAATAGATTGTGTTATTTTTATATTATTACGGAAAATAAAAAAAATTAACAAGTCTTAAGCATCTATCATTTTATCTCTCTTTCTTCTTCTTTCTTTTCATCAGGAAACGCGGTAGTCTCCGGCCATGTTCAAAAACTAATATCTTTTGTAAACTTTTTCTTTTTATATCTTTTTTTTGTTACTTCTGTTATCTAACATTTCAAAAATAATAAAACATTTTCTTTCCAATTTTGAAGCAATTCAATTTCGTAAGTCACTGTATAACAACAATTTATAATATTTAATTTTAACTTAATTTACTTACAAGGTACGGTATATCATTGAATAAATATTCAACGATATACATATAAAGACACAAAAAACAGTCACCGTATTTTTAAATAAAATGTTATACTAGATATAGACATTTTCTGACCCGTGTGAAGCTGGCCCCCCAATATTAAAAAATTGATTTTTTTCTTCATTCATTCGTTTGCTCATCGTTTGCTCACGAATGCTCAGTTGGAATTTTCGTTTGCTCACTCTTAGTTCAAAAGATACAAGAAAATTAAGTTTTGGTATCGAATTAAAAAATCGATTTTTTTCTTCATGCATCGTTTGCTCACCCTTAGTTCAAAAGGTATAGAAAAATTATGTTTTGGGGGGCCAACTTCTAGCCCTCCAATATTAAAAAATCGATTTTTTAATATTGGGGGGCCAGTTTCACACAGATCATTTTCTGTACATAAAAGAGGTTTATAATGTTATCTCATGAAAATCTCTGGCTGTTATTGAAAGAATCAACTATCTCGATAGATCGATGAGAACGGCTGTAACAAATGCAAGTGCAAGAGTCCCTGTCGCGACTTTATTTGCCCGGAAGGTGAAATATGTGATGATTCAATTACCGTGAATTGTTTTCGGGCGCCATGTCACCCGATACCCATCTGTAAGAAGATCAAATCAATGATGTAATTTGTAAGTAAACCTTTACAAACTATCGACTCCACGGTTGTTTCTCAACAGCACATGTAAATCAATAATCAAGTAAATTAATTTGTTCTCTTACTGCAGCTGTCTAAACGAAGTCCAAACAAGAATACGGGATCTGCTGTAATCATCCAAACAGAAAATTTATAGAAATATTTTACTATACGATTACAACATTGCAAAAACGTAGCGAAATATTGTTGTAACGTTGCTACAACTTTGCAGCAATGTTAAAATGTCAATCTTCAGAAAGAATACAATGAAACGTAACAATTCATTGCATCACGTTGTTATTGTACTGTCTGTACTATATAATATTTTTATATAGGAATTTTTGTACTTATGTTGATTGAAATAAAAATTTTAGTACTTTCCTGGAAAAAACTTAACCTTTTACTTACATAAATCTTTATTATCAGATGCTCAAATATCGTAATATTGTGGTTTACAAAGTTAAATTATACTTTTAAGGATTTCACGGGTATTTTCTTCAATTATACCAGAAGGTTTGCGGGTTATCGCCGTGTCTTTCTTCATTATTGATGCCTCAACATGAATGATAAAGTGATAAAGTTGATAAAGTGACAGGATAACATCAATCACAATTAGTTTAACGGAAATATCACAAATAGTGGAAAGAACTTCAAGTAATTAGACACTTCTTGATAATTAACCAACATGTGATAATGAGCGATCCATGGTTTAAGATTCATTTTGTATTTTGTGAAAACACATTATAACATCTAATCAGGCAATTTGATGTGACATGACTCACGAAATAACTACTATTATAATTTGATTGAATTTGAATTGAAGATGACTCAAAAAGAGTCGAAACGTATATATTAAATGTGTTTGAATAAATGATATTAAAGAATTCAGATTTATTCAATTAGACAAAATTTATTGAAATTGCTTACCAATAACAACGCTGTACTCTCATTCGCCATTGAGTACTGGAATTTTTGAACCACAAGAGTCCGTGAAAAAGATCACATTTCGTATTTATATTATTCAAAAATGGTATATTACAATAAAACGATTGATTGCTAAATTCAGGAAGCGCTATCTATCAGAGTTATCACGATGAAAGAAGACTATCTTAATATTTACATCATGAGTGTTATTATGTTATTTTACCCCCTCCTCTCTCTCTCTATCTCTCTTTCATTTTCTAACTACGTTCAAATAACACTCTGAATCATTATGTCCTCATTTTATGTGTTATTAGACGTGACATATCGAATTATTATACGTTTATTATAACGATAAAGATTATTGAGCAACTATTTGCCAAAATTGTCGCTATTAAAAAAATAGCATTTAAGTATAACATTTATACCACTTATTGTTCTGCAAACGTTTGACCTCAAATGAGATAAGAAAACCTAAAAATAAAAGACTTATGGGGAAACCATGTTTTTATGAAATTCTAGTTGTATAAAAAGGAAACCCTCGGACAGTAAGAGTATAGTTTTTCCAATTTCTCACAAACAAATAGTACAGTCTTATCCGAAAAGTGAAGTAAGCAGTACATTTATAAGAATCACCATACAACAATGAAAGACAAATAAATTATTCTTTTGGAAATAATAACATTCGCTTTTACAATTGATGACTAATAGGTAGCTATGTGTTACATTATATTATGCCATTATCATTCGAATACTTATATAAACATGGTAAAACGGTTTCATTCTGTAAAAGGACTAACGATTGACTATCTGAATGTAAACTTCTTTTACTCCTGTTAAAAGAAAGTATAGTAACTGGAAAAATTCAATACGGCAAAAATCTGTACTTATTATAAAAAGATCGATAAAATTTATTTTATTAGCGACGAAAATTAATCTTTATTCTATTTTCCTGATTTTATAAAAATGCAGTGCTACAACTATTATTACATTCAAAGATTTAAGTCTTTATTATGTTACAAGTATTTTATGAACTACAGCGTGCGTTTACTTCAATCTACATTCGAGTTTTTATTCCATTTATACCCATCACCTCTAATTGTAATTTCACAAAATTTAACAAGCAATGAAATGAATACCGATGAGAACATTCTGTAACGGTCAAGCTTATAAATTTTGGGAGCTTCTGTATAATTGCGTGTGAATTTATATACTATACGTTTGTAGATTCTTAATTGTGCGCCGAATTTTCTTCAGACTTGAAACGCAACACTATCAAACTAGTGCACGCAATTAAGAATCTACAAACGTAGTATATAAATTCACACCCAATTATATATAGAAGTACCCAAGATTTAGCTTGATCATTATGACATGTTCTCATCGGTATTCATTTGGTTTAAATTCTCACGCTCCAATAAAATTTGATATTTGTTAACAAATAAGGTCTTTTAGTGAAACTTTTCTCGTGCGATCAAGTTCTCTTATGTAAGTCATCGAATAAATACGTTCGGCATATTTTTAGGAAGAATTACAATAATGTTACTTAGTTTTTTATTACTACATACATTTTTAGCAGAAAGTGTTTGTATACACAGTGGAAAAAAAACAAATGGCAGTAACTGTAAGCTATTTCGAATAGAAATAAATTTCATATTCTCTTTATTACATTTTATATCACAAAATAAAAGGTTTCAAATCTCAAGAATTTCCGGAGTAGAGTAGTCTTCTGCGTTCGTCAACCACGTTTATTACGATGCGTAGAGTCACGTTTCCATTAATGCCATTCACTTTCGTTGCATTATTTACATCTCCTGACTACATTTCAAATGCGAGAATTTCTCAGAGGATGCAACGTACACTAATTTTACTATCGAAAAGAATTTGACCCGTTAAAACAAAGGATAGAATTTTGTTCTGCTCATACTGGAGTTCGAGCTTTAATAATGATGTAATTGTCACTATTTCAGGTGATAACGGTCTCAAAAATTACTTGATACAATGAATATGCGCAGTAATTTCTACAACAGTAAGCTTATTCACTCCATTATGTGGATGTCGTCGACTTATCTGCTGTTCATCCTCTCGTTATCGACAACAACTACTGCTAGTATGTTCATTAAAGTTTTTATTTTTTGGCGTTTTATTATTTACTTTTTGTTAATTAACTTGTTTCCGTCCAATATGCACGCAAATAAAAGCGTAAAAGGTAAATAAAACGGTTATGATAAAATACAATTTAAATGTAAATAAACAATTTTATTGTACATTTTGGTTTGCGCAGTTGAATTTAATTATAGAACTTGTAAATATTAGACTGTGCTAATTGCTTTAAAAAGTTGAAGTAAAGAATTCACTCCTAGTTTATGAGTGCTTGCATTCAAATTCGAGAATATCTTCTCTTTGCAATGAGTCTAATATATTAATGGTAAATTAATTTTATAAAATGCAGTTTTTACTTTTTATTGTATTATTTTCTTCTGAGTTTTTTGTGACATTGTTATAAAAATTTTATATTGTCATCTTGTTTCTTGATTAAGATTGATTTTATCAGCCTAATAACTAATAAATAAAAAATTTTGTAATTGTGGAAAGTTTAACAGGAGATGTTTTATGGCGACAGCGTGAAAATACTGAATAATTGTTAATTATTGTTTAAAATAAGCAATGGCTGCGTTCAGCAGAAAAAGCAGCTTTGCAACTGTTATAAAATTCTTAAATATAATTGGCTTATACATTTAGATCTAATGAGGAAATAAGGGCAAGACCAATCATATTAAAGAATTTTACAACAGTTATAAAGCTGCTTTCTGTGCTGAACGTAGCCAATGATTAGGTGATTTATAATAAAGCCGAAACATTCAATTTTGCAATGTAGTGATGCAATAAATATATTTATATATGGTAAAAATCCATTACGCACGAATTAACACTGTTTATGCTATTATATCTTTAGTCGCCTTTTAATTATTTTTCCAGTATTCTTACGGCTCGTATTAACTTTGATTATAAAAAAGTCGAATTTTATCTAAATTTATAAACTGAATGATTTGCAGAGCCAGCCGTCGATGGCATCGGGCTGACGCTTAACATCAATAAGCCGTACTTGTATTTCAACCGTATCGGCAAACAACAAAATTTGTGTACCATAAATTGCATAAGGGTATATATACATATTTATAATATATATTTACTATATATAAAATTACACACCACTTTATATAAAGCATATTTAATGTAAAT